CCCCCCCGCAACTAGGATTGAACATGACACCTTGAGCTGAGCAGCTGCGAGCTGCTGACGGGCGGCCGGATGGCGACTGGGTTTGGAGCTGAGCTAGCTGCGCCCTCCACAGCTAAGACTGAAGGACAACAACTTGGCTGTTCCCCTTCCCCAATTCCCCAACACTGTTCCCCTTTCCCAATTCCCCAATAAAATCTTAAAAAAAAAATCAATGCAATCTTTTAAAAAATCAACACTAAATTTTGGCCGGGGGTTGTTTTAAGCAACAGGTAACCAGAACACCCGCCCTCTGCTCTAGAGGCCTTACCAGCTCCTACTTTCCTCCAGAACTTTCTCTTTTTCTTCCTTCTCTACACCTTCTCCCTTGGCCCTAAGCACTCTCAGGAAACAAAGGGTCACTTAATATGCACAGCCTCCACTTAGCCATCTGGACTGAAAAGCCAGGTATTTCAAATTCTATTCCCAATATGATGACTGTCAGAACAAATTAGAGTAGTTAATTCAGACACCCCAATTCATTCACTCAACAAATATCTAAAAGCCTACTTCTTGCCAGTGATGTTTAGGTGCTAGTGGTAGTCTCAGCTCTTCTGGAATCGACTTTCTAACAGAGGACAGATAAGAAACAAGTAAACAAAGAAACAAACAAGGTAATTGCCAAAGGAGATAAGTGATGTGGTATGATGGAGAGAGACCTTGGTAGGTGGTGGGAGGGAATGGGGAAGCTTTAGAGAGAGTGGTTGGGAAGGTCTCCCTTGGAGGTGGCATCTGAGCCGACACTTGAAGTTTGAGTTGTTCATCAACCCAAGGTCTGGGGAAGAGCCTTCCATGCTTTGCAGCCCATGGCAGGTGTTTGGATTTCAGTGTAGGTTCAACAGGAAACCACGGAGTGACACTGTCTAGTTTATATTTTTAAAATGATCATTCTGGCTGATGGTCAGTGGGAGAATGGGTTACAGGGGGCCGGAGCAGAAGCAGAAAGATAAGTTAGGAGACAGGATGGTGGGTTAGCCTACGGCGATCACAGTGGGCACAGAGAAGGTAAGCGGAGATAGAACCTAGAAGACTTGGCAAAGATAGGATGGGGTGGGAGGTGACAGAAAGAAGGCCATCTGGTGCTAGTTCTACACCTTTTGGTTGAGCAATTAGGTTGTTGGTGGTACCTTTCACTGAAAATAGGAGGAAGAGCAGGTTTTGAGAAGAAAATCAAGAGTTCTGTCTTGGCTGTAAATTTCAAATGTCTTTTAGATTTCCACATGGAGATTTCAGGGGCGAGATCAGGGCTGGAGATAAAGGTTTTGTGTCTGAATATATAATACATATATGATATTTAAAGCCATGGGACTAGAAAAATCACACATGAGAAGGTGTTGATAAAGAGATGAAAAATATGCTGACCCAATAGTCTGGCAGAGAAATAGGAGAAACTAGCACTTTCCCTGTAGCCTTCTCAGGGGAAGGATGTCACCCCTCCCACCTCAACACACACACACACACACACACACACACACACACACACAGCATGGGAGGTAGACTGCACATCCTTCTTACCTTCCTCCTTCTAAACCATTCATTTTTCTCTTCGATACAAACACAAACAAAACCCCAGTAGTTGGCACATCACAGATGTTCCATCCGTATTTGTTTTTAAAAAACAAACCAACCCTGCCCTTTTCAGGTTAGTCCATGCAGCTATATCACCTGCTCCTCTTGGTCATGGGCTTCTCCATCCTGACTGTTGCCATCATTCTAAGGTGTGTGTGTGGGGGGTTCACCTTGGTCTTGAAATTTGGCATCCTCAAAGTCCGAGAAATTCATCACTGATCCTTTTCAGTCACCACCGTTTGGACCATCTAAGACCTGTTCGAGCTTCCCTCCTCTGCCTTTGGAGGAGTGTGAGTTGAAGCTGAATACTACTGCATTCTAGCCCTCAACATTCACTCCCCCAACCATGTGAAAGAGTTCCCCCTAGTGGACACTCATTCCATCGCATTCTCTATATTCCAAGTCATACCAAGACTGGTTTGAAGCGCATGGTAAAAAAAGAATAATTCATTCATGCAACAGACATTTCTTGTGCACCTGGTATGAGTCTGACATATTTAAAATTATTCTGAGGCACTGAGTTTCAATGTGATCACATGAGCAGACATCAAACCAAAAAGGCAGTGACAAAGCTTCCTGCTCCTGCTGCCTTTGCCACAGGGTAGGTGTCATGTAATAAACACAGAGGGACTCTAAGTCAGGCTCAATATGTGAAGAAGTCCGGCCAGGTCCAACTCAGGAGGGGTTCGTCAGCATAAATGAAGCTAAGCCCTTTTTCATAAATGTATTCAACAAACTTCTACTGAGCACCCATTATGTTCCAGGCCCTGAGCTAGAATAAGAGATGAGTCAGACCCAGTCCCTGCCCTCAGGTTGCTCAGGGCTGGAGGAGAAAGGCACAGAGGTAAGTTGTCAGTAATGGTGTGTATGTAATGGCAGTACTCACTCGCTCCCTCACTCATCCATTCATCATGTACCGAGGACCTAACATATGCTAGGACTGTACTGAGACCATAAAGACAAAAACTATGAGGTGCTCTGAAATTGTGCACATTCTGTATAAAGGGCAGTTACAATTCTGGAGATAACTGCACCAATGGAGGGAGGTTCTAGAGGGGAGGAGGGTGCAGGGTGGCCCAAAAGAAGGAGGACTGACATTTGGGCAGGGGTGGAAGGCAGGTCAGGGAAGGCCTTAGAGCAGAAATGCTTAAGCTGAGGAGTGATGGGTGAGTGGGAGTGGTCACGTCTGCCACGTGGAAGTGGGGTGGGAGGAAGGCGGTCTCATGGCCACCCAATCTAGTCTCCTTGGGGTTGATTAAGCTTCCTAACAGAAGTCCACTGCCAGGTCACCCCCTTGCTCCAATGCCAGCGACAACCCTCTGCCCCTGGCCTGACCTTTACTTAGGTGCCTCTACTACTCCACCCACTCACTGGCAACTCGTCCCCAGCTAAGATGAGTAATAGATTTCAACATTACTTCTCAACCTACAAGGTCCATACACCCATGCATATTGCCTGGGTGGAACAAACACAAATTGACAATGCTGCTGAAAGAAAAATACAACTGATATTAAAAAAAAAACAAAACTGATGTTGGAAGTGAGCCTCCAGACCTATGTTGATCTTCCCCAGGATCTTACTTGCATACCTGAACCCCAGTACCTGCCTGCTCTTTCTGCCCCTTCCAGGCTTCTTGGACCTGGGGCTCAGCCTGTCATGCTGGACACAGGCGTCCTGATATGTACTGACACCCAGATCTTTCCTCTCTGTCCTGGCCTCCTTGGCCTTGCCCATTCCCCCTTCCATATGCCACCGCATTCTCTACACCCAGGCAGTTCCCAGTCTTGTCCCTTCTTTCTCTTTCTAGGGCCTCTGTATCCAGATGAGATCAGCACGTTCTCAGTTTGTTGTCTGAACAACCCGAAAGGCCTCCCAGCTGGCTTCCAGCCTCAAGTGTCCCTGTTGCTCTGGCCTACCTAACATGCCACTACACAGGCGGTCTTCTTCAGGCTGTGCTCTCCTTCCCACTCTCCTGTTCACGGTTCACTTTGCAGTGGCTCCATGCTGCCTACTGGAGAGAGTGCCCATTACTCCACCTGGCATTCAAGGTGCTTGCCATCAGGCCCGAGCCTTCCTTTCTATGTCTTCCTGGACTGAGACCTCTGAAACCTCCACCAAGTGACCTAACTGCTATTCCCCACACACATCTGTACTGTCCCTAAGTCTAGGCCTTCGTTGCTAACCATGCCCCTTTCCAGGACGCCCTCCTCTGTTCCCTTCTACCTTCTCAAATCCCTCCCATGCTCCAAGGCGCAGCTCAAACACCACCTTCCCAGAGAACCCTTCCTTGAGCCCTCCTGTGGGAACAGAATCTCCCTTCTCTGAACCACTATAGGAACAGGAGAGGAAATAACATTTTGTAAACACCTTTTAAAAGCCTACGCTTTGGCTTTTGGATCAGAGAGATCCGGTTTGAATTTAGTTAGCCGGGTAACCTTGGGATGCATACTTAATCTCTTCGTGCTTCAATACTTTAAAAGCTTGAAAATCATAAAATATCTAATTTGAACGTTCAAATGCCTAATATGTGCTAGACCCTGTGCTCTTGTGGTTATTTGGAGAATGGAATAAAACGATTCACTGAAAGTGGCTGGCACATAGATGAAAACTTATCAATACTACCATTATCCAATTTTGTTTCTTAGAAGGAGGACAGTCCTCAGGGTGATTTCTGTTTAGAGGGGAAGCACCACACAAGACCGGGAACCAGGGCCAGCTCAGGATCCAGACAGACTAACACCTGTTAAAGCACCATGTGGCCGATTCGAGCACAGAACGTGACTGTCATTTTCTGAATCACTTGCTGATCAATACTGAACCAGCACCTTCCATCGGCCAAGGCTATCCAGGAAACTCAGCAAGGCTCTTCGGGAATAAACTTTTCAGAGCGAATCTGCCTGGCCCTCACCGCCGCCTTCTGCGACCTGCGGCAGGCCTGCTGCCTCCCCTACCTTCATACTGGACTTCCAGGTGCATCGTGCGCAGCACATCCAGCACGCAGCCCACGATGCTGGGGTGTGTGGTTCCAACGATCGACTGACAAGACAAACAGGACAAGGTGGTGACTCTTTAGACCTTGTTCACCTGGGAGGGATAAAAAGCAGCCTGGCGGAATGGGGAGAGGGAGGACAGCTAGCAAACGGAGAGTCCCTGGTCTGTGAGAGGAGGGGCAGAGACGGGCAGCCAAGAATCAACTGAGAATCTGCTGAGGTTGCCACTGAACCCTCTAGCTTAGGAGGCATACCGTCAAGGCTAGCTTGGCCACCTGCTAGAGGTACAGGGACAAGTCAGCTACCTTGGCTGGGGGGAGGGAAGGCACAGGCCAGGGAGAGTGGAACTCATCCAAGATCCTAAATCTTCTCTCCTTGAGGAACCTCACCCCATCAGAGAACTCCTCTTTCTAGATCTTCAGCATTTACCTGTGCGGTTCCCGCCCTTTAGCATTAACTGTCCTCGAGCTCACCTACTCTCAACAAAATTGTCCTTGAACCGTCTTGTCTTGCTATTGCTCTTTCCCCTCTTTACTCCCAAGGTTCCCAGAGGAAGCCACTTCTTCATCCTGTGACAGGCTGCTGTAATTTAACTTTTCCTGCCACTGGACAATCCCTTAATTCACCAAAACTTTTCCTGCTGGGACCATTTTTCAGTTCAACCCGCACTTAATCTCCACTTTGTATGTGACCCAGCAGATCATGTCTTCCTTATTGAAGCTCTTTTCCCTTGATTTTCACAGTCCTGTTTTTTTTTCTTTTCCTCTTATGGCTTTCATCATTCTTTTTCAAAGAGGCAGAGTGGATATCGAAAGAGTAAGGACTTTGGAGTTGGAGAGAGTTGGATTTAAATCCCCACTTAGTAACTACCTCATACTTAGCATGTGGCCTTGAATAAGTCACTGAATACCCTCCGAAGGCTCAGTTCCATCATTTTTAAAATGAGGATAATAATACCTGCCTCCATCAGCTATTATGAAGACTAAGAGAGTATAAGTCAGCCCCTAACACAGTGCCTGGCATGTAGGAGGCACTTAACAACGGAAACTAGAAATAATACTGATAATCAGATCTGTTTTGCTGAACCTTCTTCCTCAGCTCCTCTCTTAAATGTTGGCTGTGTTCCTTCGTTTATGACTTCTTACATTCTACCTGGTGACCTTATTTACTTCCACTGTTTCAGTTATCACTTTCCTGCTTATGAAACCCAAACTGCCACCCTCACCTCAGGTCTCTCTCTGGAGCTTCAGCCCTTTATTTTCTACTGTCCAGTGGACACCTCCACTAGATGTCCTGAGCAGTGATTCCTCAATCGAACTAGGAATCAAAATTGTTTGGGGAGCTTAAAAAGACAAGGAATTACCAAAGGCCCCCTGAGAGCTGTCAGATTCTATGGAAGTGAGGCTCAGGATTCAGTGCCTTTTAAATAAGTGACCTGTCTCTTTCTTCTGTAACTAGCTTGGCCTGCTCCTCAGATGATGGGCACTCGGGAGCCACCACGTCTCATCAAGTCTATCAAGTTGTAACCTCTTTTCATGTTGAATTGGTTTTTCCTGCTCTCTCTTGGTGGCACACAACTCAACCTGCTGTCTAAGTCCAAAGCTGAGTGTCACCTTTGACTCCTTTTCTTGCCCCAAGTCCCAGGCATGCTGCCTCCAAAAGGTCTGTCTAGCCTGGTCACCTCTATTCCCATTGCCACTGTTTGGGCCTGATCATCTCTCTGATCTCTTAATTGTTCGCCTGCCTGCAGTCCATCCTAGAGCAGTTTTGAGAGCTTTTGGTGACTCATCTCAAAACATAATTCTCTCCTTACTAGACACGGGGTCTTCATTGTAGTCACCATGCCCCAGATCTGACTTTGCTGGCATTCCAGGGCCCTGAGAGGAAAACAGAAGTCAACAGAAAAAAAAGTTTTCCCAAGCACTGGAGATCTGGTCCCTTCACTTACATGCTGCCTATAAATGTACCATGATTCTTTCCCTATCAAATCAACTCCTTTAATCTTTTCTCCAGTCCTTTCATCACCCTGGTTGAAAGGATGATGAAAAGACTGGAGAAAATGGTTGCTTGTCTCAACCACTCTTAAGTCTGCCAACATCTTTCTGATCCTTAAGTAAACAGGATAAATCACTCTGCTGGAAGACATGAACTCTCTGCCCTGCCTTGGCCTTCTGGAGGCAACGCTGATTGAACAGCAGACATGCTGTGGGAGGCTGAACTCTGTTTTGCATGCCTGGGTGGAGTGCAACTGTGAAAAGTAATTGTAAGATTACTGTATCTGAATGAGAACCACAGGAGTGCACAGCCTGGGCTCACCTGGGCAGTCCTGAGTGTCTGCAGGGACAGCTGCTGAGCTTTTGGCGACGCAGAGGGCAGCAAAGCTATTAGACCTTTGTACACTTGATTCTGGTACTTGGGATTACCGTGGACCAAAGAATCCAACAGAACCTGCACTTCCTCCTGGGTCTCTTCTGACTTAGACTTTGCCAAAAATTCTGCTATGGATCGTACACCTGAGCAAAGAAGACAGGAACTGCTAAAATGGAAGGGATGTATGAAAACGATCCTCACTCAAGATTACATAATATGAGGTAATAGGATTAAGATGTATTTAACCAAGCTCGTTTAATCAAAGCAAAACTGAGGCTCAGTCTCATGTTGCATCATTGTCTTGTTCACCTTTGACTGTGTGGCTGGAGGATTTTGTTTCAGCATAGGCATGTCAGCTTACCAAAGCCTGTTTTAAAATTTAAAATGGCTCTGCAAAATGCACAAGCAAACAAACAAAACATTAGTTTTTGATTGCTATGTGATAACTAGCACTCAGCAATTTACAAAGTGACAAATAGTACCTCATTTAATCCCAGGAACTATACTGAGAGGGAGGTTAGTCCCATTTTATGGATAAATACACTGAGGCTGGGGGAGGCTAGGGGGGACACACAGAACCATGATGAAAGTGCAGTGAAGGAAGTGCTTTGAAAAAGAGATGTATGGGCATCCCTTTCCATGCTTCAATCAGAGCACTTGATAGATCATACTGAAAATCCCGGATTATTCACCTTTCTCACCATACTGTAAGCTCTTTGAGGGCAGGAACTGTACTTTATTTATCTTTGTATTCCTAGCACCTTAGCATACACCTAGCACACATATTCAATGATTTCATTTCCATTTTATTTCTAGAGTTACTTATAACTCACTTAATTTCACAAAGAATTTTTGGCAACAGCTCAATTAATCTTTGTTGAATGAGTGCATGAAAAAAGGTGTATTTAAAATGGAACAGTAGTTCCAAAATCACCATGGAAAGATTTGAGCAAACGATGACTCAGGAAAAACATAAATCTAAGTCTTCTGGTGGTAATATGGATGGGAGCTAATTGAGTCCACTGGACAAAGTGCAACCAATTCCCTGATGCATTTTGCTATAGCGGTGCTGGGTGCTGCCACTGTTGCACGCAGGCCCCAAGGCAGACATGGGAAATCACCCCTGTCATACACAGTACCCACCATAACTTTCACAAATGAGCTCCTTGTACTTCCTGCCAGAGTTTGCAATGACCTGAAGAAGCTTGATGGATTCCTTCTTGTCTTCTTCCTTGATCTTCTCCAGCCCAAGTATTTCCAAGAGCGTTAGGACTCCTCCAACCTCAAGAAATTCTATAAGGTACCGATTGCTGTCCAGAGAGATAGAAGAATAGAAAAAAGACACTCGTCAAGTTTCTTGGTTCTAATCTTTCAAAGGGGTCTCAAGGTCCTTTCTTCACCTACTTTGCCCTCCTATCCAGGAAATGCAAAAGTTCAATACCATGTACATTTCTTGTGTTTGGCTTTCTAGCATCTACTCCTCTTACTGTAATAGCACCTCAACTGCCCCTTGGGGAATCACCCCTCTACCAGTCATGAGCCATGTGATTTTGGTAGGGTGAGCAGGTGACACAGTATGTCATCCTTCTGATTGCAATCATTGGTTTGGGGCCAGGTGTGTGACCTAAGTTGGTCCAATGAGGCTCAAAACCCAGAACTTTGTTGGGAGCCCTTGGGAAAAAATATGTTCTTTTCAGTATGGCTGAGCTAGGATGAATGTCTAAAACTTCTGAGGACCACAGCACAATGAGGCCTATGAACACAGAGGAGACCAGAGCTGAGAAATGGAGAAAAAGAGAGGAAGACACCAAGTACTGATGACATATTTTGAGCACCTGTTGAGTCAAGCCTGAAATGTGGATTTCCACCCTTTGGGCTTTTCGTTAAGTGAGCTAATTTATATTCCCCTTTTTTTCTGGTCCAGTACAAGTTGGTTGGTTTTCTGTATTTCACAACCAACATGATGCTGCCTAGTAAAGGGTCAATGGAGAACATGGGATGAAGAAGCAACTAGAGCAGGACCACAGCTGACACTACCTCTGGGCCCATCCCAAGGGCTACTAGGTACCCATGGACAACTAGAAGACCTGGTCCCATGTGGTGTGAATGCCAAGGACACCGCGAGCCTGATATGCAACTGAGAGCCCAGAATCTCTCCAGAACAGAACTCACCTGCTTACAGCTGATAAGAAGATGCCAATGGACTTTAGAAGCTTCTCTAAACACAAGCCAGTCATATAGCTGTATGACAAGTTAAAGAGTGAATTTCGGGGTGGTTTTCCGCACAGAAACCAGATCCTGTGTCTGATCCCTGGTACCACCAATGGCCCACGATGACCAAAAGCTGAATTGTGTCCTTTATCTGAGAGGGGCCACTGAAATAGAAGAGTCAACACACATGGGGTAGGGGATATGAGGTGCTGGCAGGCATGTTCATGGTTCTCCAGGAGGCTCTTCTGGGGGTAGTTCAGCCACCTTGGCTCTGACAGGCTTTCTAGAGAGCAAGGAGACTCTAATGAGTAAAAGGTGCACGGAGAAAGCTGGGGGTCAACTTTCCAAACCTCTCCACTGCACCCTTGAGTCTCAGCATAGTTCATTACTTCGAGCCTCATTCTTAGATGTCTCTAAAAATAATCAGCTTCATCATTAATTCTCAATTTTGTTCTTGCTCACAGCTTTATACTGCAGGTCACTATCTTTATGAAGAATTGCATGTCTTCCTAATAAGAACAACAGAAGATGGCAGAAAAATTAAACTCTGATTTAAAACAACCTCAGTATTTAATGTTATTTTTAATGTGAGCCTTTGCAAAAAGCTTCATTGTAATAAAGCACCCAGAGCACGCCTCAGCTCGGATACAAGGTATGAAATCAAGCCACAACAGAAAAGGAACCAGTCAACAATTACTAGGCTCATAACACATCACAGGCTCTTAGAACACTTAAGAAATTAGCTGAAATTATTGCAGCTCATGGAGGATGACTGAGAGCTTCCAAGACTGATAAAGGCTAATGTAATGGGTTGGAGATAATGGTGCTTTGTTGCGGGGGAGGATGCGTGAGGCAAATTATCTCTGCTGCACCCTGGTTCCCAGGATGCCAATAGAAGTAGAGACAGATTGGCTCATTAGGAAAGGCTCTTGACTGCAAAAACAGTGTTTGTTCTGGAGCCAGGCTCCCCTGCCTGTTGCTGCTATAGCTGGGGGCCAGGCTATCTGCCCACAGGGTAGTCTCTCTATTCCTACATTGTCCTCCCTCCTGCTCCCCCAAACCTCAGCCCCCATTCCTGTCTTAGTGCATTTTCCCCTCTTTTATTCAGTTACCATCTAGGCTGACCAGCTTCCATCACCTTTTTCCTCTGTCCCAGGCTAGTCCTAGTTTCATAGCCACTCACTATACATATTTCTGGTGCATTATTTCAGCAGTTAGTTCCAGAAGTCAGCCACAGTATCAATGGTAGCTAACAAGTACCAAGCATTTATTGTGTGCCAGGCACTGTGCTAACTGCTTTGCTTGCATTGTCTCATTTAATGCTTACCACACCCTGCAGTGAGTGCTATTAGTATTTCCACTCATTTCATGAGGAAACAATCTCAGACAGGTTAATGACCTGTCTAAGGTCCCAATGTTAACTGATGGGACTGGGATATGACAGAGGCTCACTGGCTTCCAAGTGATTGCTGGAAAAGCAAAACCCTTCGAGTAACCTACAGGACTTGCATGGTTCTAAACGTTTTGGTAACCTGTCTGTTTTCCCTCCCTCTGGAGCCAGCTTCCTACTGTCTGTCTGAGTTTTTACTGTCAGGCCTTCCTGCCTGTAGACAGAGAGAGGGAGTGGGGTTATTTTTGCAGATTATCTCCTTGTATGGCGTTGGTGGTAGAACTGTGGGTCTGCACTGCCCACTGGGTGAAAGACACTGAAGTGGAGTGCATGCCATATGAGCTTCAGGCCAGAGAGACCCCATTTCACACCTTATCTCTGTCACTTACTAGTAAATCACTCGACCTTTTCAAGACTCATCTTTCCTATCTATAAAATGGGCTAATGCCAATCACCTATTTGGCTTGGTATTAGGCTCAAATGAGATAATATTTGTACAGTCCATACATAGTTCAGTGCCTAGAACACAAAAAGACTCAATAAATGGTAACTAATAATGTTGTCATTATAATACATAAATCCTTAGCTGTGCAAAACATAATAAAGCTGTATTGATTTGCTTCCCTTCAAAATCCACTGGAACTGGAGGGCTGAGGAGGAGAAGTGGGGTCACTGATTCAAAACACTATGTCACTTTGGCCAGTCTATTTTCTTTGTTGTATGACAAGGTGACAAAAAAGTTAAGAAATTATGAATAATTTCAGATGTAGAAACTGAATATACAACGATATATGAGAAGTGCGGTTCATTCAGTCATTCACTAGCATTGGCTAAGTGTCCACTAAATGTCAGACACTGTGATAGGCACTCAGGGTATGAAGAAGATTACTGGTAATAAGTGCAATGATTAAGAAAAGAAGTGGGCGGAACTCAGAATTCTTGGAAACACTGACATTTGAGAGATAGGTAGGAAAGATACCACAACAGTGAGAAACAGCAATGGAAGAAGGTAGAGGAGAGAAGACCTTAAGAAGGGGCAGATGTCAAGCAGGGCGGGGGTGAGGGTGAAGCGAGGGAAGCAGCTGCTTCAGTGCAAAATTTAAGGGAGCACCAAAAAACTCAGTAATCAAATAATATTTCAGTACAATATTAAAAAAAAATTAACACAAAAAAATCATCCACGATACATAAAATATCCAAGTTCTAAGTAAAGACAGCATCTGACCCTGCACGTGTACGACTCTGCCTCACTCACCTCATCCTGTGGTCAAGTAAGATAAGGAGGGAAGCGTACTCTAAGTTTGGTGATGAAGAGGTTGCTGATAACCTTGGTGATGTTAATGTCATGAGTTGTGGGGACAAAGCCAGATTACAGGTGCTGAAGTTTCTCAAAGCACCATCTGTGAATCACCGGCATCAGAGTCACCCAGGGTGCGTGTGAGAAATGAGGAGCCCAGGGACCCTCATTCTGTTGGTTGTCAGAAAAGTCACGATGCATTTTTGCAACGAAAAACAGAGAAAAATACGTCATGACTTTTCCAACAACCCAATATTAAATCAGGACCTTAGGGTGGGGGTAGGGAGGGAGACTGGCAACATGCCTTTTAAACCCCTGTTATGCATACTAATATTTGAGAACATTGGGGCCAATCTAGCGATGCATTCAGTGGTATTCTCTTTGGCCTGTGTTCTAGGCCTGAGTCTAATGAATAATTTTATCAACGACTTAACTGTAAGAAAAAAGAGAGCTGTGTTTACTTGAGCCTTTAATTCAGTTCTGTGTAGCTGTAGGCTCTCTGGTTAGCAAACGCGTATTAAGGACCCATTATGTGCCAGACATTGTGCTAGGTGTTAGAAATACAGAAGTGAGTAGAACAGATGCAATTCCTGCCCTTGTAGGTTTACAGTCCAGTGGGAGAAGAGAGATATTAAGCACATAATAAAGATAAAATGTTATGACTATTAAGACAGAAGAAGTGCTATGAGGAATGTAACCGGGAACCTAAGCTGGTCCTGAGAAATGTTTAAATTGAGACCTAAATAATGGAATAGGAATTAGTCAAAAAAGAAGGGGGTTTAGAGAAGGGGAGGTTTCAGGGAAGGAGAAAAATGTATAATTACAGGGTCTGAGATGAATCCTTTGAGTGTTATGGCCACACAGACCAGGAATATGCTCAAATCCACCCATAACTAAAACTATCACCTCAGTGGTGACCAAATCTATCTTCAGCCCCAGTTTGCCTCTGGGGCTCCTGAGCACAGGCACCTCAAAGTCAGCATGTCCCAAACCAAACTTATCTACTCCAAAGCTCGCACCTCTTCTTTTATTCTCTTCTTACAGAATGACACCCCATTCACTTAGCTTTCCCCAAGCCAGAAATGTGAGAGTCATTCTGGGGGATATAAGTGCAGATGGTACTTCGATAAATAGGTATGGAACTCAGATTCCAGAGGGAAATTTAGGCAGGGGGTACATACTTGAGAGTCCTTAAATTGGAGTTGTGTTGACATCATGACAATGGATTAGATCACTCAGGAAAAAACTTAGAGTAAGCAGAGAAGAGGGAGGTAGATGGAGGCCCAAGAAATGCCAATATTTAAGGGATGGCTGAAGAAGAGAAGGAATGCACAGAAAAACAAGGAGAAAACCAAGAGAACTGGTATCACAGAAACCAAGGGAAGAATGTTTTGAGAAGTGGGAATGGCGGATTGACGGATGCTACTGAGAGGTCATGTATAAGGACCAAAGATGTAGTTACTGGGTTTGCTATTAGAAAATCATTGGTAACCTTGGCAAGTCCTGCAAAGTGTAGTGGAGGGGACAAGAAGCGGGTGGAGGAGAAAAAGACAGGTGAGAAAGTGGAGACAGAGAACACCAATAATCTTTTCAAGAAGCTTCACTATGAAGGGCAGGAGCTGGGTGCAATATAGATTTGAAACAGGCACTGAATTTTTTAAGATAGAAGAGATTTGAACATATATAAATGCTGATGAAAAAAAGCTGGTAATGAGGCAAAGGTGGAAGCTCTAGCAGAGAAAGAATCAAGTCCCTAAGGAGCTGGGAGGGGATTCAAGTGCAATACCAATAGAGGATGAGCTCCAGACAGACGGAATACCCACTTCAACTCTGATGGGAGCAAAAGAGGTTAGGAGTGAGACATATTTATAGGTCAGTAGGATAAAAATTTGAGGGAGTTCTTGACTTTCGGGATGATATTTTGATCACCAGATATTCTGTTCTAAAATCTTGGAATCCAGAGAAGAACTCCCACAATAATCGTCTCTCCTTTCCTCTCTTGATGATGGCTGAATTTTTTTTCTGCTCAGCAAAGGATACGTGAGTCTAAGCCAGGTGGTCAAGCGTACCAGGAACAAGCTGGCTCCCTGGGAAAACTCCTGCTCCAGCTCAGGGGCAGTCTTGCCTTGGTTGGTCTCAATGAAATTGCTGAGGATGTGACTCCTGGTGACTTTGCCAGCATTGTCCCAATTCTGTAAAAAACTCAAGAGGCGGCTAATTGCTGCCTGCTCCTTTATAGAAGTCATGATTGATCAGTCCTGAAGTTGGCTACAGAGGGAGAGAAAACAGGCAGGTTACCACAAAGTTTAGAACCACGCAAGTCCTTTAGGTTACTCTAGGGGTTTTGCTTTCCTGGCAGTCACTTGGAGGCTAGTGAGCCTCTCTCACACTTGGATGTAGTAACATTCAAAATACACCTCTAGCACTGGTCACCTGCTACTCGAACAAGGCGGATCTAGCTGTATTAAGAATATCAAGGTAGTCAACACCTGCTTCAGGTTTAAGGGCTAAAAATTTAGCTCTTTGGCTTCTTCGCTGCTACCATCAACTAAAAGGACCATAGGCTCCAGCTGAGATAAAGGCATCTTGCTAAAACCCCAGGTCTCAGGGCAGCTGCTTAGCTCAGTTGGTTAGAGCACGGTGCTCATAACACCAAGGTTGCCGGTTTGATTCTCACATGGGCCACTGAGTTGCGCCCTCCACATCTAGACTGAAACAACTACTTGACTTGGAGCTGATGGGTCCTGGAAAAACACACTGTTCCCCAATAAAATTTATAAAACCCAAAACCCCTAGGTCTCTCTCACCCCTCACTTTACACAGAGATTTGGGGTCTTTAGAGATCCAGCCCCCTCTTATGCCAATCAGCCAAGGTAAAATGCTCCTTAACATTGTACTTTGGGCTTTTATACTAACTCTTAAAAACAACTTTAAAAAAAAGTTAGTAGGAAGAAAAAGTTCCCATTCCATAGTTGGATTAATGGGCTGTGGTTTGTAGGAGTCTGTGTCCTTGGGAGAGAGTGTTTTCAGTGGGGGAAGGGGAGGTTTAAAATAAACCCGTTTTCCAAAAATAGTTGTGATTGAAAGTGTTATTATCCATAACAAATGTTAGTGCTGATGAGAGAGAGGCATGTGTGATTCTTTTGTCTAACAGACAAGTGAAAGTCATATTTCACATTATCATGGGGTTTTCTGTGATTTACAGAATATTTGTGAAACATTACTTGCATGGGCCATGATTGATATGGAGAGAACAGCTTGTGTGTAGGGGAGATGTGTATTTCACGAAGATGGTTCAACATGAAATTTACAGTGCCATAAAGTGCTTCTACATCTTTGCCAGAGATCTAGTTAAAAGGACTTTACAGTCTGAAACATCCTAAAATTGATTCTAAATTAACATTTCCTCACATGTATTTGAGATATTGATGGGGCCCAGCTATCAGAATTTTATTAGGAAGCAATAATTGAGGCATGCTGAGACGGACATACATACACACCAACCTCCTCTACTCCCCAGAGGACACTGGATATGTGCTCCCAGGAAGGGCGTCACGTCGCCTCCAGATGGAGACAACCACGAAATCCTGTCAGCCAGAACAGCCAGGTGAATAATTGTGGGTCAACCTACACACAAAAATGACCAAAGCCCGTCATGGGATCATGCATCCATCACTGTGAATGATATTACAGTCCTAAGTCTGAGAATAACTCTCCGTGGGCACCTATAACAGCCACAATGGCCTCAAGAAAATGGGGATGAGTAGCTGTTCTGGACCCCAGGGAGGAGGGGTTGAAACACCACCATTAGCTTTATTAGGCAGGAAAGCATCCTGTGCTCCTGCCCTGCTGTGGACGGACCCATTCTAGGATCAAAACTCAAAGTGCTACCAGAGATGCACCCAGCAATTCTGGGACACTAAGGATAGAAAAATTTCAGCTGGACACTCTGCATTATGGCCACTTGAAGTTTCCTTATCATCTTTTTTAAAAGGGAAAAGAAAACCAACAAATGACAGCTTTAAAGGTCACAGGGATATATCTCTAAAGCAGTGAATATGTAGCGAAGGCCCATTATGTGTCACTATGCAAGTGCTGTGGGAGATGGTGGCCCTGGAGGAGCTCCAAATCTTGTGGTAGAGTGGAATGCGAGATTTGGCCTCAGACAGGGTTCAAGGTCCAGTTCCCCACTTGCTATTTAGTAAAACATCAAACGTAATAGTTCCTGCCTTATTCCTTGTTATCCTCCAGTCTCACTCTAGAGGCAGGCACTTTCAACTCTTTTGGCTTTTTCTTTTGGTGTTTACCTCTATATTTCCAAATAATGAGCTTATACTACTTGCTATAGGCTGAATTGTGTTCCCGTTGTCCCCCAAATTCACACATATATATATGTGAATATATTAAATATTTAATATAATTAAATATATATATATATATATATATTTTTAGATTTTATTGGGGAATTGGGGAAGGGGACCAGCCAAGTTGTTCTTCAATGTTTGTTGTGGAGGGCGCCAGTCGCCATCTGGCTTTCCATCAGCAGCTCGTGGTCTCTAAGCTCAAGGTGCTGTGCTACATACTTAGTTGCTGGTGGGCGTAGCCACCATCTCATGTGGGAGTCGAACCAGCAGCCTTGTTGTTAAGAGCACATGCTCTATCCACTGAAGCCATTCAGGCAGCAGCTTAGCTCAAGGTGCCAAGTTCAGTCTTAGTTGCGGGTAGGTGTAGCCCACCATGGAACAGGCAATCTTGTTGTTACACCAGCTGAGCCATCCTGCCATCTGTTGGCAGTTCAGCAACAGCTCAGCTTGGGCACAGCATCACTGGCCCATGTGGGAATCGAACCGGCGGCCCTGTTGCTCAGAGCTTGCACTCTTAAGCCGACTCTCAACCAACTGAGCCACTTGGCCGGCCTCTGAATTCATATGTTGAAACCCTAACCCCCAGTACCTCACAATGTGACTGTATTTGGAGACAGGGTCTTTAAAGAGGTAATTAAGTTAAAGTGAGGTCATAGGGTGGGCCTGAATCCAATATAACTTGTGTCTTTACAAGAGGAGATTAGGGCACAAACACACACAGAGGAAAGACCATATGAAGACAACAGGTCAGCCATCTACAAGCCAAGGAGAGAGGCCCAGAAGAAACCAACCCTGTAAGACTTGGATCTTGGACACCTTGATCAGAGCCTCCGGACTGTAGGATAATAAATTTCTGTTGTTTTAGCTACCCCGTCTGTGCTACTTTGTTATGGCAGCCCTAGCAAACCAACACATTACTATTATTTGATTTACTGATTTTAGACAAGATGTATTTCTTATTCTGGCAGTTGAGGAATTAGCTCTCTTGCACCACTCTAACCCCCATTTTTACCATACAGTTTTCTAGTTTATAGTTAAATTAATAGTGTTTATATTATTGGCCAAGTAAATAAACATTGTTCACTTAAGATGTAGCTCATTACATTTTCTTTTATAAATTGGTTTTGCCTGGAGTTAATTTTTTTCCAATTGTTTAGTTTTCTAAGTACCGAGAGCTATTTTCTTCCAAATGTTCCAAACATGTAGCAATGATTTTCCCAAATGTTCAACCCCTAACTGATCAGTTCCATCTTTTCCCTGGAGACCTCTGCCCCGCTCTTTCTGCTCATTTGTACTGGTCACTCGCTAAGCCTGGTACACAGATGCTGTCCTGGGATTTCCTTTTGCCAGTCTTCTCTGTTCATTGCCCTATTTCCATGATCTACTTCATCCCCTTTCTTGGTTTACACTCTCCTTTTGTTGAAGCACATTCTCCAGTAGCTTCCTAAGAAATGAAAACTATTTGTGTGTGTGTGTGTATCTTTGGAAGTCGGAAGCGGTTTCTGACGTCATGTTAGATTGGTTGGGTATATAATTCCCCATTAGGAATGCTTGCCTGGGATTGAGCCTCCTGTGTTGCTGTTCAGAAGTCTGACGTCATTCTGATTTCTGTGCTTTTGTCTGTGTTTTTTCACTTGATGCTTATGAAACCTTTTCTGAAATTGTATGATGATAGGCCTTGGCACAGGTCCTTTTCATTTATTGTACTAGGCCCTTGGTGGGCTTTTTTAAATCAGGTGCTGTGGCCTTCAGTTTTTGGAAATTTCTTTTTCAGGCAACAACTAGTCTTTTCACTGAGGAACTCATCAATGTCATTCAGTGTTGGTTTTTTCCCTCCTGGGGTCCTCAGGGCCTCTGGAGAAGACTTCACTATTTATCCAGGGAGGGTGAGCGGGTGGGAGTGATAAATGCCTGACTACTGGCATCCTGGGGGTGGAGGGTGGGGGAGGGGCTGGGGCTGTCACAATGCAGTGTGTAGTCCTTCTATCACCCAGTGTTCCACCCTATATATATATCTCATCCCTGCCCTTCAAACTATGCCTGAGATCCCTGAGTATGGAGGCCTGCAGAGTTCAGTTTCCTTTCTCCTTAGGCAGCAACAGGGTTTATAGTTGTTTGGCTATTGAGAGAGGAGCTCTGGGGTGGGGGCCAAGTGCTCTGCAAACAGACTTCAGCCAATCCCCATGTTTGGCCTCATACCTCATTTCTGATCTGTGGTAACAATCATGCTTCCAAGTATTAAGCCTCTTGGAGGTTAAACTGGGTGAACTGGCTTGCTTTTTTATTGGTAATCGCCTCTTGTTGGCACTTAGTTTGTAATTTCTTAGGATGCTTCAAGCCAGGTAACATTCCCCCACCTACCTTCTCCCTTCCAAATATTTGCTGAACTTTCACTTGCTGTTGCCTTGCCTCCTCTCTGGACTTTTGTGACTTAGTACCTTTTTATGGTTTTTTAGTGTCGGGAGGTTTTGAGAGGTAGAGGGAGATAAAGGGTGGCAGTCATGTTTCATCAAGAGAGTCCAGCCCCTTATTATTTATTTTCATCCCAATTTTTCTTCAAAGTAAGATTTAATGAGAAATGGGGGGAAAAAAGACCCATTAAATACAATTTTAAAAAGAATTAAAAAGAAAAAAACAGTGGAAAAATGAGAGAAGGATGCCAATTTCAAGAGTCAGTTGCTGGGATAAACACTGTATCTAAGATTTTTCTTGATGACCAAAATAAAAGGGGAAATATTATGTGTCTTTTATGGTTAAGGGAGAAGGAATGATGGCAGGGAGAAGAAATGAACATTTTTTTTCAGTTTTTTAAAGAACTAGTCACATATAATATGCACTATATACATTATTTGTTTAACCCTCTAAGGATCCCAAGGAGGTGGTTATTATTATTTTCATTTACCCCTCATTCCTCACATGGATTTCTTTAACAGCCTCCTAACCCATCTCCCAGTTTACCCCACCCTAATCTCCAGTGATGTGAGAGTTAATGCAAATCTGACAGACTTCCCTGTTTAAAACTCTTCAGGTGTTTCCCACATTATCCTCAGGATAAGGTTTCAAACATCTCAGCCCAAAGAACTTTCATCTAAATCCTGCCACAACTGAAATCTGACTCCCCTTGTCCCTTCCCCCCTTGTCACTGCTTCTAGTGGAAGTTAAGAGGAGGTTGCCAGCTCTCCCACACTTTTAAAAACCATTCTCTAAATTCCCCATACTGTTTCTAAATCATTTCTTTTCCTCTAAGATCGGGCTTCCTATCCTTCCCTCCTACCTTGCCTCATTGCTGATTTATTGGCCACGCCCCACGCTCCTTGATGACTTCTGTCCCTAGGTCTTTCTGTTTACCCAACACCTGCTAGGCAATTTCAACATCACCATGTTCCATTTCCATAATCTGGGTGGCTAGCATCCTTCCTGACACACAATGGGTGCACAAGAAGCGTTATTGAGACTTGACATCCAGCATGTTATGCTCGGAATGAGCACTTTGATTTCCTAACTCCACACAGTAATTAAACAGATGTCCTCGGTGCCAGTAGACTTTGAGCCAAGCATGGGGATTGGGATTGGTTAACACGACAGTCTCTGCCCTCAAGGTGCTTACACACTGGTGGGGCAGAGACAAAGGCAACCAGGTGATTTTGATGAAGAGTGAAAAGTGTCCCGATGAGGGCAAATCCCAGGATCCTTTGGAGCACACAGAGAGGCACATGATCAAGACTCCAATGACCTCCAACCTTCACCTCTAACCAACCCAGCATTCACACTTATGATCCACACCCTAAACGTGTGAATTGCCTCTCAGGTCTACAATTCCAAGCTCCTCGCTCTCCTACCTCCTCTATTTGTTCTCAGGAGGTCTTCTCTTGGGCTTAACAGAGATGTTACAGGCCATTAGGCAAGCATGTCCTCACAGTCCTCTTCATTCTTTCAATGGAATCTGTATCCACACCCATCCTTCTCTTTCCCTTCTTCACCCCTTTGCCAGCGCTCCCCATCCAGCCATCCTGCCTCCTTAAGACCCTCACTCCATCCATTACTCCCTCCTCCCCTGTATCTTCAATCATCCCCTTTATTTAGGCATTCTTTTTGTTAACTTATTTAATTCTTGCCTATCCTAAAACAAAATAAGCAAAAATGAAAACAAAAACCACTTACCTTAACCCCATGTCCCTCTCTAGTCACCTCTCTGGTTTTCTCATTTCATAGCAAAGCTTCTTAAAAACAGTCTACACTCTTTTCTGTTCTCCCACTAACCAT